CCCAAATCCCCTCACCAAAATTAGAAATAGTATTGATATCACCACCATCAAGCCAATGAGCATAAGAAATAGAAGAAAAATCATTTAATTGATTCCAAAGAAACTCTCTACAAGCACAAAAGCAAGCAGGATAAATAAAGGATCCAAAAATTGAATTGAAAGAAAAAAAAACTAATCTGAGTATGAATAACCTACTGAAAATCATGAGCAATTTTGATGCTTACACGACCATTCAAAAAAATTGAGGTCTTATTGGAGCAATCAGTGAAAGACCTGCTTAAATAAAAACGTTTACCCATAAACTCAATTTCCTTAGGATGTTTCCTGTACATTTTAACATCAACTAAAATACGAGCTACATAGGGGTTAGTTCTAAAAGCAGTAACTTGATCGATTTACTATGGCTTACCGAATATTGAACCCAAAGTATGAAAAACAATATTGTTAAGGAATTACAACCGTAAAATAGGAAATGAAATCCAAATTGGCATAATCAGAGATTCCTCGTAAATGAAAAAAAAAAATTGGAGTCCACTTTAATAAACACATTTGTCAATTATTCATATAATAAGAATGCCTAACTAAAACCATACTATAATCCAAGTGATTCAATAGTTGAATTATGACATGCCTAGATTCAATAAATTAATAGAATATAAACTAAAATGCTTCAAGTTTCTAAAAAAAATATGAATAGAATTAAATTAGGTCTATATAAAGTTAACTTCCCAACCATAGTGAAATGAATGGGAGAAGCTAATTTCACAACATCCTCATCGAAAATTTAGATCACAGGAGGACCATTGAAAGATGAACATGTAAAGAAAAAGAGGGAGCAAAAGATGAAGAAGATCTTGAGACCACATCTTTAAAATATTGTGAAGATACTTTATTAACATTGCCAGATTAATATAAAAATTCAAGCTTCTTAAAATATGTGGATGGTAGAACATTTCCCCCTGCATTTAATAGAGGATATACAAAACCAACCCAAAAAAAACCATGGACTAAAGAATACTAAAATATCACAATCACCGGTATTAATCTTACCACAAGATTGACATTAAAAATCCAAAGAAAGTGCAACACATCAGCTGAACAAGATAAATTCCAATGTGAAAAATTAAAATTGCTAGAGCTCGATTATTCATTATCAAAGGGTTGGGGGTTTTGGTTATGGAGAGAACTTAAACTAAGCTTTCTAATACGATCATAAGTATACATTGGTTAGATTAATAAACAAGATAAAATTAGGGTGATTTCGCCAATTATGATTATAAGTATTTAAGAAAGGGTTGTTAGTTCTATTATTATTAACAGTGAGGGACTCTATTCCTTATGCATTTGGGTTGCTTGAGGATCTAAAAATATTTTATTTTATAGGCAAAAGGGAATTTTGAGGAGTATTGATTCCAATATTAACTAATTTTCTTAATATGAAATCTACTTGATTAGTTAAAATAGATAGAGCATTAAACTCATATATACAAGCTGCTTTCCAAGGATTTTTCTTTCATATGGCCATTAAAAATTGTTGATAGCCATCTCCTCTATCAAAGTATATGTCTCATCAAAGGCTTATACATCAGAGAACCACCTTTAACAACACCAATTATTGATCTAAGAAATCCTCTAAAAACATTATGAAAGGTTTGAATTATTAGCAAATTAGTGAAAGCATGGTTAGGATAGTTCCTAAGGAGTTCATTATAGCTCTCCCATGATTCATAAATAGGTTTCCATATATCTAGGTAAAAGATATGATACCATTTTTAAGCTTAGTAGTTTTAGATGGGGGAAAATAATTAGCAAAACATTATGGGTAAGTTGTGATTGAGCCTAGGGGTAATGAACTTAATTAGATCTTAGCTTTATGCCAAAGAGAAAAAGGAAAATACCTAAGTCTAAAGACATCATAAGAAATATTATTATATTTTTTTTTTGAAAGGAGCATAAAGCAATTTACTAGAGAAAAAAATAGGGATAAGAAAAAGTCCCTACCGAGTGCAAGAAAGCGATTCCTCCTTCAAAATATTAACAAAAGAAGGAGGAACCTTATCAAGGAGTAAATCATCCCAAAAGAAAGAAGAAAAAGCACCAAAGTTAGCAGATAAGTCCGCTAACTTGTTACAATCTCTTTTAACACAATTGAAAATAACATAATTAAAACTATCAACAAAAGAAATTTTATCCATACCTTTACCTCCTTTTTTGAGAGCCTTGTGGATAAATTTGATAACATTTGTGTTATCACTCTCAATGATTATGCCTTGAAATCCTTGCACCCGATCCTTGATCATATCTTTGACTGAAGCTATAGCTAGATACTCCAAACAAGTGATATCCCAATGCATATGAGATATACCATAGGCTGCTATTAATCTTCCTTTGTGATCTCTAGCCACTCCTCCAACACCTCCTTTATACGAATGGAATAATGTTGCATCTACATTCACCTTGATCCAATTGGGTGGAGGAGAATACCAATGATTTTCAAACATCAAATGCTGATTGGTACTCAACCGGACCATGTTGATATAGTTAGGAGCATTGAGAACTCCTATATAGCTAATTGCCTCGGCAACTTTTTAAACTGAACTTCTTTCTTTCTTCCCATGAACAAGTTCATTTCTCTCCTTCCAAGTAAAGTATATGGAATTGCAGAGTAAGCTAGAAAGAAAATCATTCTATTTAGTCAGCCACTTATACATCTCCTATTTGTTATTGAAAAGAGGTATATGAAAGCCCCACTTTTCAACTGCTGTTTAACTTCTACAATCTTTTGACATCTACAAGTTAAATGACAAATATTTTACTCCTCATAATAGCCTCTAGGACAGCTTGTTATCCTTTGAATTCTTCTATATGATAAAAAGAATTGGAAGGCCATGCATTATTTAAAACTCTCCACGAGAAGTTTTCTACTCTAGCATTGAATTTAGATTTTTTTAGCCATTTCCATTCAACGTTATTAGTTAAATGATAAACTTTGTACCCAGTAGCCATGGAAGTAATTGTTCTTCCAGATTCCATGTGGATGAGATCAAATTGATCTTCAATAAGCTTCGATTTTATTTCAATCTTGCATATTAAATCCACCAAATCCTCACTAAAATATTTATGAAGTTCTGGACTACTCCAGTGATTTCCTGAAATAAAATTTTCCACTTTTAAAGAACCAGATATTTCTTCTTAAGAGTTAACAAATGTAGGCCATTTGTTTAAGCATTTATCCCAAATCCAGGTGTCTTAAAAACATCAATTGACTGACCATTTTCTATATTCCATCTCACAATATGTTTCAAGGATTTACTACCATCTTTAATAATCTTCCACACAGTAGAGTTAGATTTGGTTATGTTCACGGCATCCCAATAGGAACCGTATCTAGGAAAAGGATTTTATGCAATAAGGAGTCTTCTTCTTTCAAGTATTTACAAGTTAATTTAGCCCTTAGAGGGCCCATTTTATTGGAGCAGGAATGAATTCCTCTGCCTCCTTGTTCTGCTGGTTCACACAATTTTTTCAAGCTAACATAGTGCAAACCATGGTCTTCAATAGATTTGTCCCAGATAAAATTCCGGCAAAGCTTCTCAATTTCTCCTAGAACTGTTCTAGAAACTAAAGACACCGTTGAATGGAATGATGGAATAGAGAGAATAATAGACTTTACCAGTGTGATTGTACCTGCTAATTAGATGAACTTAATCCCCAAACTATTGAGCTTCTTCAGAACTTTGTCTATCATGAATTGGAAATCCACTCTAGAAAGTCTTCTTAAAGCCAATTTAGTTCCTAGATAGTTGAACTCTTTAACTTCTTTAAATCCCATTATGCATTTGATTTTCCTTTTCTTCAAGCTAGAGACTGCTTTCCCAAAAAGAATTCCAGATTTGCTTATGTTTACCTTTTGGTCGGTCCAATCACAATACCTGTTGATAATGCCTTTTATAGTTCTCACATTTTTGAACTTTGCTTCAGCAAATAAGATGATATCATCTGCATATAGTAGATGTGAAATCCTTGGGCTGTTATTACTAACCCGAACACCAATTTCTTCCTTCTCCATAATGGCATTAGAAAGGAGCGGAGAACATAATATAAAAAGGTAAGGAGACAAGGGGCACCCTTGTCTGAATCCACACCTTGCATTGATCCAATTGGAAGGAATTCCATTAATCAAAATAGAGAAAGTAGGGTTTTGAACACATTCCAATATAAGATTAGAGAAGAAATCAGGAAATCCAAAATAAGCTAGAACTTTGTGAAGAGTTAGCCACCCCATTGAGTCATACGCCTGTTCCATGTCTAATTTAATAGACACTAGCCCTATGGAAGCTTTAGAAAATCTAAATTTGTGGAAAAGTTCTTGAGGAATCAATACATGATCTTGAAGAGATCTACCTTTAAGAAAAGTTGCTTGTTCTAGGGATATTAATTTAGGAATGATACCATTTAATCTGTTGAGAAGAACCTTGGAAGCAATTTTGTACACCGTGTTACAAAGGCTAATAGGCCTGTAATTATAAGAATATTTTGGATTGTTGATCTTAGGGATTAGGACAATCATAGTTCTCTTCCAATCCACATTCATCTCAACCGTTTCAAAGAAAATTTTCATAGCTTCCCAGAAGTCTATTCTAATGATAGTCCAATAGCTTTTAAGAAAGGAATAAGAAATTCCGTCTTCACCTGGAGAAGTGAACCCCATGGTTTCTTTTATGGCTTTTTCTACTTCTATATTGAAATTGTTGTTTAAAAGAGATTTGTCCTCCTCTTCTAGATGTGGTTATCTGGCCATCCCTCAAGCTAGCATTTTCTCTCACACCATTTGTCTTTGAAGAATTGTAACAAAACTTCTTCAATTTGATTATGCTTTTCCACCATAATCCTGTTATCATCCTTAATGCAAGAGATGAGATTGGTGTTCTTTCTAACACTAGCAACTGAGTGAAAAATTTTGAATTTTGATATCCTTCTCCTATCCATTTTACTTTGGATCATTGTCTCCACCACGTGCTTAACTGAGCCAAAGTAGAGTTGAGCTCATTAATTTTGAATTTCAGCAGATAATAAACATCCAGTGAAAGCATTCCAACTTTAGCTTCCTTAGTTTGTAGAATAAGGATTTCTTCTTTGCGCAAGTCCTTCAACTGATTCAAATCTTTGTGCTTGGCCTTACTCCAATAGCATAAGGATTTAAGAGAACTTTTTAGCTTGAAATTAAGAATTTTAGCTGGTGATCCATAATCTTTTTTCCTCCATGCTTTTTCCACCACTACGGAAGAAGCCGGGTAAGAAGCCCACACATCCTCAAATCTGATAGCTTTTTTAACTTTAGAAGAAAATTCTAAAGTATTAAGGAGGATGGGACAGTGATCAGATGCAATTATGGGAAGATGCTTTACAACCATTTGCTGATTGCAGTTCACATAAATAGAATTTACCATCATACGATCCAGTCTTTCCATTATCCGATCAGACCCTTTCTTATTATTTCTCCAGGTTAGCCTAGGACCAATGAAGCTTAGTTTATGAAGGTCATTAGAAGTCATAAAATATTTCATTTCTTTAGGCCCCAAAGAAAATGAAAATCTCCTACCATTTTTCTTGTCTTCTTTAGCCAAAAGACAATTAAAGTCTCCACCGATCACCATAGGCCAACCATTGGTGATATGAGGTTCCAATCCATTTCAAAGAAGTCTTCTATTATAAACATCTTTGTTACCATAAATTGTAGCTATCCCCTTGTTAAGGATGTCCAAATCGCTAATAATAAATTGAACAGAAGACTCTTTCATGTTGAAATTAGCAAGGTTGCTCCTCCAAAGTACAAGTATGCCTCTTGATAAACCAGCTGACAGAACATAACTATAATTCCAACTAGTGCCAATCAATGACTCCACATCTTTGTGCTCGATAAATACCAATTTTGTCTCCAACAACTCAACATAAAGAACATTGTGATCTTTCACCATCTCCTCGAGGTAGAGAGAAGCCTTCTTTTTCATGTCTGCTCTACAATTCCAAATTAAAATGGAATTCATTTATGGATCAGTGGGGAAGAATCCCCCCCCCCTTTCTCCTTAGCATCTCCATCAGTTTCTCTGCTCCTGGTCTTCAAGTTGATTGGTCTCAAATTTTTTAATTGTTTCACACCTTTATTTTTGACTGTAGAAGAGATATCTTCTTTTGCTTTAGATTCTACATCATTTATTAATGTATCTTCCTAAATACCTTCATGTATATCTGGATGTAAATACTCTTCAACTATTTCACCTTCCTCTGCTATATTTCCCAATGCTTCGAATTTGTTTTTGATTTCCGGAATTCTTTCAGTGAAACCATTTTTTGCAAATCCCTCTTATGTCTTTCTTCTGATCTCCACTTCAGCACAGCAGAAATTTTCTTTTGAATGAGCTTCTATCTTCCCATCTTCTACAGCCTGATTCAATCCAATTGAATCAGTTAAGACTTGTTTTAACATATTTTTTCCAGCAATTTTTCTTATAGCATTAGCACTGCTTGGTTTAACAGCACCATTGGTTCTTTCCTCTAGATTTTATTTGGAACTTATTATTTCCCCTCTCTTTGGAATGGATCTAAGAAATTTTCTTTTTTTATAGTCCACATGAATCCATGGACCATAACCTTCTTCTTTGTCATCATCATTAGAAACTAGAGTTTGAAGATTTGTTGTTGTATCTGCAGCTCCCAGTTTGTCTTCCCAAATTTGAACTTCAATTCCCTGCTTAACCTTGTTTGAAATTGATTTCTTCAAGAATTCCTCCCTTAAGTGACCAAGCTCGCCATAGTTAAAGCAAAATGTAGGCAACCTTTCATACTCAATGTTCTGATAGAATTTCCCTAATTCTCCTTCCACCCAAACACCCAATGGTAATTTCTCATCAAGTTTGACTCTCACACAAACCCTTGCGAACTCTCTTCTACTCCACTGGAACATGTTTCCATCAATCAAGTATGGAGTCCCCACCATGGAAGAAATTCTACAAACATTTACTTCATCCCAACATTGAAGTGAAAGATTTGGCATCCGGATCTAAATTGGGGTTGTGAGACCTTTGAATGAAGAAGGTGAGAAAGCTGCTATCCACCTATCCATGCCCACTATGTTACCATTGACATACCAGGGATCTGAAGCAATTATTTCCTCCAAAGAGTCTTGTTCCTCAGAGGCACAAAGCACCCATCCTTGTCCCAATTGAGTTAAATGGAATTTACCAATCCTGGACCATTGCTTCCTTAACTCAACACTTATGACATTGAAAGGGATATTATTGCCAAAGATCTTGATCACCAGAGACTTCTTAAGTCTATTTGAATTATCTTATTCATTTCCCACATGAAGTTTAACTGCTCCGTCTTCATTCACAAAGTTCTCACCGAAATTCAGTTCTGAGACTTTGATATTATCTTTCTTCTTCCAAGCATTCAGAACAGGTTTATCAGCCAAAGATTTAGAACCTTCAACAGTATTTGTTTGGTTGCTGCAGTTTCCAAGCTCTCCAGATTCACATTCCCGAACCTTAATAAGATCAGAATTATGACAATTCTTGTCTCCACCATCTTGTTCAGTAGAATTCACATTGACTTCTTCTATAACCAGATCATTAGTAATATGGTTGTTCTTCAAAGCTTCATAAAACCTTCCTCATTTGTTGCTGCAACATTATCACAAGAGGTTGGCGTACAACCATCTTTTTGGTATTGATTACCATTATGGAGATTTACTTCAGGTATACATAATGCCTTCGATTGAGAATCTTCCGTTAGGATTTATTTGCCTTTGCCAATCAATCAGCATTCTTCTTCTTAGCTACCATTACTCCTTCCTTGATAACCAGAGGTCGTTCTTTTTTGAACCAGAACATATTTCTTTCTCGCAACCATTGTCTCCGAAAGCCAGTGGGGACGAGTCGAATTGATGCGATATCTTTCGAGATGCTGGAGGAAGGGGAGGAAGGGGACGGAGGTTGACTGAGACTCCGGGAGCCATAGTCCGGCGATCCTTTGACGCCATTAGCGTCAAGCAAAAAACCAGCGAAGAGGGATTTCAAAAATCATCTTCAAATGGAATTAACGGAGCTTCTCTATCCTAATTCTCTCAAAAAATGGATTTAATGCTAAAACAAAATTACCTTAAACGTTACATAGATCTCATGGAAACTAGTTATATGTATATTAGGATATTTTAATGGAGTTTCCCCAAACTAAGAGTTTTTCATAATTAAAATTAATTGAGGTTTGAGTTTGAAAATGTTATCCTAAATGCTATGATTATTTATGCTTTAATAAATTGCTATAACCATTTAATTAGCATGTTCCCTAAGCGTTCTAGGTTGATAATTTTTTAGTTTGATTCAAGACATTTTTAAATCTTTTACATTTTAATTTTAATTTTTTATCTTTTGTAAGTATCTTTTCATCTTCAAAATTAAATAAAATCACTAATAGCTATTTATTACTATGCATGCAATGGCAAACAACACCAAAAATATGTTTTTAAAGCATAGTAAAGTTATCAATTAAGAATGTGACCGTAAGTAGTGGAAACACAAAGCAAGTAAAAATAAATGATATATTTATTTAGTTATATAGATAGAAAAAAGGATAATTGACTTCTACTCCTCCGACAATGGTGCTAAAAACTTTATATGCACTTTACACACATTACTTGGCCCTTAAAATATTTTTTTACTAAGCTACAGTGCGAATCCTATTCTATGCAAGATCATGTGTCATACAAATTTTTAAAGTGATGAGAAGAGTATCATTCTCTTGAGGACATGAAATTTCCTAAAATCACTTTTGTACTGCTAAATGAGACTAATCTATTTATCTAGCCAAGTAATTCATTAGTGGTGATGCAATTTAAAAAAGAGAATAAATCCTTAATTTCAAAAGTTAAATTCACTAATTTAGAAATTTGTGAACCAATGCTTTTCAAAAATACATGCATGTATAAAATTAATTTTCTTCATAATGATGCTATAAATTATAGCATAAGTGCTTCTCATCTCTATCGAGCTCATTAGAGCATTACCTCGGATTCCACCCAACTATAGTATTATTATCTCCATATGACCATATAATCCTAACCTCCATATATCTATGTTATGAAAGAATATTTTTTAAAACATCTAATTATTCTTCTATTCCTCTATCAAGGCTCTATATCACACTAGGTTTTAAATCTATGCATGGACTGTACATTAACTAAATGAAGCTTTGAGTAATTAAAAACATAATTTAAATAATTGATAAAATAAAACTCTTACACTATATAATTTGGGGTTCTGGAATAATCATAAATTTAGAATAATGAGATTTACATCTCATGGGGATTCAAGTACACAAAATAGATATATTATTACACTAAACAAAAAAAGAAATAAAAAATATAATGAGAGCTTAAGGATAGAAATAACTTAGTTAAGAAGTACAGACACCTTTCCACTTCTTCCTTTTGTACACACCAATACTTTGCTCATTAAAATGAATAAATAAGCTATTTTTCAACTAGAAGATGACTCTAACACTCACTCTCTCTCTCACACACACACATACATTTTATGGAAAAATAAATGTGCCACATGATTAACTTTAATGTTCCTTTAATCAAATATGCATAGCATAACATTTATTCCCATTAAAGAAAATTTGATGATTGAATATTGATTTGAAAAAAGAAACCATTTTCTTTCATAATTAAACACAACATAAGGAATGTTCAATTCATTCTGCAAGATAAAAAAATATTCACCTATCATTTTGAATATAAATGTATAAACTAATGTTTAAAGTTATTTGATGAGTGGGTGTGGGTGTAGGGTTAATTTCTTAGATGCTTAAGTGATATATATTTGGTTAAAATATGCTTGAATGATAAAAAGAAAATAAAGAGCCAGATGTCCCTACTAATCACAATAACAAAGTACCTTAATAACATTCTATGAACAAAAAAGGAAAGAAAAAGATATATCTCAATCAGCACCGCCTTCCCAAACAGAATTGTATCCTGCACAAAATGAGGGTGAGTCTTGAAAAACCTAAAAAATAGGCCTACAAGAACACTAAATAAAAATATAAAAGCTAAGGAAATGATAATAAAGAAATTAGCATACTTAAGCCCAAAGATCCAACTCAATACAATGAAGAAATTACGCATATCCTTATAATTAGAAATGACACTGATAATGAGGCCACAAAGGATATTGTTCCAATTAATAAAAAAACCGTATTGATTACCCTTAGCAAGAGTATTCAAATTTCAATTTGCCATAAAAATAAGATCACCATCCTGATATAACCAAAAATTCCTTAAAGTGCTAATCCTTGTGTTGACCAAACCATAACAACCCAATAAGTTAGCAAATAGTTATTGAGGGAGATAAGTATAAACAGTAGATAGCAAATCCAAAACACCACCATCACATATGGACACAATCCA